GCGCCCGAGCCCCCGGCCGTTCCCCCCCCCTTATCTCTGTCCTCTCTCTCTCTCTCTCTCTGTCTCTCTCTTTCTCTCCTCTCGCTTCATGTTCCTGTACGTCCAAGAAGTGAATCCATTCCAGAGAACAGCTGGATATTTATGAAAAAAAAAATAGACCAGCGGAGGAGGAGGAGAGGAGGGGGGGGGGGGGCACGCAAGGTGTGCGTCTGTCTGTAAAGTGTGTTTTTCCTTTCCGACCACGACACTTTACAGTCGCTCCAGATCTGTAATAACCACTTTGGACCTCAGCCTCTCACCACACACACACACACACACACCCTCACCACAGAAACGTGGGGTAGAAGGAATGGATCGAGGAGTGGGAGCATTAATAACAAAGCGAGTCGGGTGGGTGACGGGGCGTGGGCTGTGGCAGATTAGTTTAAAGAGTAAAGAGTGGGAAAAGCCACCCCAAAAAAAAGAAAAAAGAAAAAAAAAGAGCAGTACGAGAAACATGGAAAATCCCTGGTTCCCATGCCAAGAGTCTTGAGTAGCAAAACACACACACACACGGGGAGAGAGAGAGAGAGAGAGAGACGAATTCAGAGGAATCCACATTCACTCACATTCATTTCCTGGACACAAAGTCCAACTTAAACCTTAACTGTTATTTCCCTTTACCACCAAAACTTCAACATATATTTAACTTTGCCTTCTAAACACATGCATTCATCACTTTGGGGTTAACAGATGATGTCATGAGACTAGAACTACATCTGTCTCACTTTTTTCTTTTTTTCACCCCGCTTAAAAAAAGGGGCATAAATTCTGCTCTGAAGGAATTCCTCATTCTGCGCTCTTTTCTTCGACCATCAATACTGTTATATGGTTATTTAAAATAATTGAACAAGAACAACAAAATGATCTGCCTAGTGCCTTCAAATCTACAAATGCTGAGTGGACAGAAATCTACGGACGTTTACTGTACACAGGAGTTCAGGAACCATTTAAAAATGGACTTTTTTGTAACCTCTTAATTTCATTTGAAATAGGTTTTTTATTCTTCTTATTAGATCGCAAAGTCTTCAGATTTTTATACGAACTAAAGAATCAATACTAACAAAACCAACGACCTTAATTTAACCACGTTTTACCACTCGGTGACATCACAGTCTGACACATTTTTGCAGTAAATCTTTTGCTTTTTTTCCTTTGCTGCAAGACTAGGATACTCAATATTATATGATATATATGACACAATAAAACTGTGACTATGTAATGATATTAATAAAATGCTGAATTGAATTTCTCGAGTATAAACATTGTGGTGAAACTGCTGTGTCTGTCTGTAATCAGTTAATCACGCTCACCTGTGTCCCCGTGCCCTGCTCTGTCTCATTAGTCTCAGTCATCACACCTGGTCCCTGTCCCTCACTCACTTTGTCCTCACAAATTTCAGGTGAGACTTTTTTTTTTTTTTTCTCTCTCTTCAGTGATTTGTTTTTCATCATGTGAGCTCTGATATTTTTATATGCTGCATTTTATACGTTACAATCTTCAAAGAATTCATTTGTTTGACATGGTGTTTTTATCAGTCATTTTAAATTGACGCCCAATTTATTACGAATGTTATAATCTTCAAAGAATTCATTTGTTTGTTTAAATTGACGCCCAATTTATTACGAACCAATGCAAATGATGGAAATATTAATGTGGGAAATTGCCGAGGAAATGAAATGTAAAAGTTCAACTCAACTCCCACCAAATGTGAGCGCCTCACAATGCATTTGACAATAGTGTCTGTCAGCCTGTCAGTCACAGACTTATGTACTGCTCTGAGCTCGATTAGACTGGTCTGACACATTTGAAGCCTCTGCTGGATGAGATGTTATTTAAAGCTCCGTCGTGTGCAGATAATATCATGATAAGTGACTGGATCGTGCGTCATTCTGTTTTTGTGTAAAAATGTGTTTGAATCAGATTTAACTTGTAACAAATGTATGAATCCTCAGTTGCCACTGCTGGATAAATCAATCAGTTCCTTTGCGGAATATCATAAATGTGCCACGGATCATTTGGATCATTTTATTTGTTGTTCACCTTGTGCTTCACGAGCATGATTGTGATAAGAGAAATCCCACGTACTGTGAGCCTCCACATCAACGGTACGCACGCATACACGGAGTTATAGAGCGGAACAGAACGCTGTGATAAAAATAATCATTGCAGCTTCAGTAGAATTTTCTGGAGCCAAACTATCTCCGCACCATCTGTAACCTTGGACTTCACTGGAACTAAAAGCAGCGCGGATAAAATGTAAAAAAAAAAAAAAAAAAAGAAGCCCGGGACTGTCTGTAATATGGTGGGAAGCGCACACTTTATTTATCATGTTCAAATTCTTTGGAACATTTTGACCCTTTTCAAAACCCGTCATACGTTTCATCCAGATTTGGTTGATTCCTAAAACAAAACAAGCCGACCGGTGGCTTGCGTTAACCTTTAACTATGAGTTAAAAAAAGACCCTCGTGTGTGAAAAAAACAAAAACAAAAAAAAAAAAACCTCAACGAAGTAGATTCATAGAGGAAATGCCTAATCATGAATAATTCAGCAAATACTAGGCTTATTCTGGCCAATCACACTGCGGTTATGATAATCACCAGTTGGCGGCAGCCACACGACCACTTGCTGTGCGTGTCAACAGTATTCCTTTCCCAGCCTGACGCTTGCGAGCGGCACAGCTGCTATGTATAGTACAGCTCTATTTTCAGAGCAGGCAGACAGGACGCAATGGAACGCTCTCAAATCTTGACTTTTGTGTCCGGTCCTGGAGAAAAACGCCTACTTGATACCCAAGTCTGAAGAGGGACTTTCAGGAAGTGTAACCCGTCAGGGAGGTCATGGAATTGCTCAAGGGCACTAATGTCAATCAGGACGTCCAGGCCGAGACCGCAGTCCATGAGTGTGAGCACCAGGCAGGCTGGGTGAGGGTGAAGGTGGAGGCCAGTTGTTTCACCGTGGAGCGGGCCATGTTGGCCAAGTGCAGCGACTACTTCTTTGCTCTTTTTCAATCTGGAATGAAAGAAAGTGACCAGGAGGAACTTCACCTGAAGGGGGGGCTGCACGCCCGGGGCTTTTTGATCGCGCTGTCCGTCTGCAGGGGAGAGACCCCAGCCATGACCGACCCAGAGGAGCTGACCGATGCCGTGGAGTGCGCCGCCTTCCTGCAGGTGCCGCGCCTGATCCAATACCTGTGCGACATCATTGATTCGGAAAACTGCCTCCTGCTTTACCACACGGCCTCCGTGTTCGGGGTTCACCAGCTGTTCCACAACGCGGCACTCTTCCTCTGCGATTCCTTTGAGGATTTAAAGGACGCGGCCGAAAGCAGCATTTCCGAAGACCTGATCCGATACTCCAAACTACAGTCTCCCAACTCCTATATCGCCCTGGGCACGCACTCGCCGTCCATGGAGCTGCTTCAAGACTCCTTCAGATTTGTTTGCTATCTCGACGAGAAAGCAGGGGAGTGGAAACACCTGACGGACCTCCCCACTTTCTGCAGCACCTCACGGGCGGGAGTGGCGGTGCTCGACAATCGACTGTATATCGTAGGCGGAGTTCACGGTTACGCCAAGGACACAGTGGACAGCAGTTACAGCTACAACCCCGACACAGGGGTTTGGACCGTTCTACCTGGACCGCTGCAGCCCAGACACAACTTCACTCTGATTGGACACGAGGGCAGACTCTACGCCATCGGGGGTGAGTTCAAGAACCGGACCATTTCCACGGCCGAATGTTACGACGCAGAGAAGGGGGAGTGGACGTTTATACATCATGCCCCGAGGCCGGTGTCGTCTGCGGCGTGCGCTGTTGCGAGGAGGAGGTTGTTTGTTTGTTTCTGGAAACCGCCGGACACGACAGATATCTACGAGTACGTGGCCAACGAGGACGTGTGGACACTGACAACCACGATGATTAAAAGCCAGAGCTACGGCCACTGCATGGTAGCCCACAGGGACAATTTGTACGTGATGCGCAACGGGCCGTGCGATGACTTCCTGCGCTGCCTGATAGACTGCTACAACATTACAACGGGCCAGTGGACGGCGCTGAACGGACACTACATAAACAGCAAAGGGTCACTGTTCACGGCCGCGGTCAGGGGCGACTCGGCGTTCACAGTCAAACACATGCTAACTCTGGAATACGCTATCGGCGTAGACGGATGGAAGCCCCGCAGGCAGATGAAGGGATTTCCAAAGAGCGGCTCACTGTGGACGTGTTTACTCAGGCTTCCCAAGACGGGGCCGGTTCGACCACAGCTGGATTCAGAGGGGAAGGAAGAAGACGAAGAAACGACTTTGCCAGACGCATCTGAGGGATTTGCGGAAGCCGTCCCACAACTGTGAAATTACGGCACGACTGAAAAACAGCGTGCTGTTTTTGAGGTTTTCAAAGCTATGAGTACACAAGAGGCGGAAAAAAAAGAAAAGTGTTGAAGAATGCAGGACGATCCAACTGTCCTTCTTGGAGTCGTGAGTCACTTTCTCGTGTGTGCCCACACTTGTGCGCACACATGCACATGTGCTGACACTAAGCTTTTGTTCTGATTAGCCCCAGCTGCTACTGTAGTCGGGCCTGCAGAGGGCTGCGGTGCACGCACAGTTCAAAGGCGCTCACTGGGGATGGTATAAACCTCCCGCTCTCTACCTGTTCCCGCTGAAATAGCGCCGGCCAAATCGGGAGTCTCTCTCCCACACTCCTCAGTGCTCTTTTCCTCATGTTTGTAGCCCAAGTGGCTGATCAAATCGCTGTTTCTGTGAGAGAACACAGAGAATCACGTAGCTTCAGGCTTCTGACTAGAGACCAAGGGGAACCACCTCAACTGGAGAACTGTAAAACCGTTGGAATTCTTCTGGCACCGTGTGATATCGGACCATTATACTTTATTATGAATTCCTCGGTAAGGTAATCTCAGTCCTATGAGACTTTAAATCATATTCAGGAATGGGAAAACGCACAATAGGTCGATAGGTTGATCATACCTTTGTTGTAGCAGAAATCTCGACCAGAGTTCATTTTTTTTGTGAAGTTGAAACATATGTTTTTGGTGACTTTTTAACTGCTGTCTTTAATCCCTTTTGTCAGTGGGGGCCCCTAAGGGGCGCTAGAGGCACTTCAGAAAAATAATTTCAAAAAAAAGAACTGTCCAACGCTACCTGAACGCACTTTATGTGAGAGCTAAAATGTGTAATCCGTGTAGACCTGGAAGTTTGTGTCTGTTGTCAAGCTTCCCTGCCCCTCGAGCTGATAATGATTTTTTTCTGCTAAACAAATGTAATAATGATTGAATAGTGAATACAAAAAGTGAATAAAATAATGCACAAAGTAACGGTGTAATGCTAAGACTACAAGACTTTTTAATGTGTTTGCGTCTGGGGACTACATTTTAAATCGACTCTGTTATAATAACTAATGGGGGATGTTGAAAAATGAACAACAGACGGTAGTTGATAAATGAAGTCGATATACTTACTCCACTTATTGATCTGGGCGGCGGCAGGTCAGGAAGCTTCTTCTGTGGGACGGGACTGCATTTCGCTGCTTTCCCATTGTGCTGAAGATTTGATTTGTTATCTACAGGACAGACAGGAAAAAAAAAAAAGACAACTAAATAATAATCCATACAATGAACACAAAGCAGTAAATGATAAACTGAAGGAAAAGTCTTTCAGCATAACATTAATAAGGGGGAGGGGGGGGGGGCATGCTTCCCCTTATCTTATCTCCTCATCTTCATATTGTCAGTTTAATAGGGCTTTGCTTCAGTTATCCCACAACCTTTCACCTACTTTTATGCCTGAAGGACAATGGGAGACACTGAAGCAGCAGTCATACAAAGTTACTTTATGTTAATGTTTAAACAACATTAGAGGCAGGATAGTGAAAACTCTGACGCTACGCTTATCTAATAATATTCACCATGTCTAGTTTTAGAAGTTATTTTTTTTGAAACTGAACCACAAGTGACCTAGGTCACGTCTACGTCTCAGTTACTCATTAGGAAACCTTGGCTCCTACACCTGGGCTTCGAGCTACGTCAAAGGGAAACCGGCGGCTTTGTTAGCGCTGCCGCAGCCCAAAGTGTCCGAACAAAGGGTCACTTTCTCAGGTGCTGCAGCGCTCTGCGAAGGCAGACAGGAAGTGGTGAATGATGGTAGAGGGTCGGCTGAGTCGGGGGTGTAGCGGCAGGAAGTGATGCATGCTTCTTCTCACACATATGCACACTTTGTCAGAATCTTGACCACCTTTAGTAACCTTAAGTAGAAGTACCTTTACTTAGTGTATTCTTTGCAACTGCTGTTCTGTCGCCGGTGTTGTTTTCTCCTTGTGCTAATTTCTGCAATTTTCTATTAAAAAAGTCTATTAAAAAAAACAATCATTTTAAGCATCATTTGCGATCAATTAAATTATGGACAAACAATGCAAAAAATTCTCAGAGACTGCTTTCGCTAACCTATATATTGTAGCCTATTAGATGGCAGTAATATGTAAAAACGATGCTGTTGATCGATTAATCTTGCCATATGCAACATTGTTAGAAAATATATGGCAGCGGTGGGATTCGAACCCACGCCCCCGAAGAGACTGGAGCCTTAATCCAGCGCCTTAGACCGCTCGGCCACGCTACCTTGTGGTGCTGTGAAACTCCAGATTCAGTTTCCAGTAACTCAACACCTTACCAACGCAGTACAGCAGTTTGCAGTACTTTGTTTCACCACTAGGAAATATAAGAAATTCAGCTCAGAACAACAGTGTTCTGATTGTGTGGTCCAGAGTGGCAGAGCTGTTAAAGTCGTCCGGTACCTTTGTTTACGATACGTTAATTATTCTGTTTACATCCTTATGCATGTTTCGCTTCCTTTTATCGGTGCGCTTTTACCCTGGCTTCACTTCCTGCGTTTCCTACTTCTCTTAATTACCCGCCCCTGCGTTGGTGAGTTTCGCATATGTAGAGCCTGTCATTTAGCCCTCCTTCCTCTCTCCTTTTGTGTTTAAGTCATTTACCTTGGTGGAAAACTCTCAAGCCTTTAATGACAGGGCAGGTTAGCAAAGCTTTGGACAAATAAATGCAATAAAATCACGTGTGTTTTCTTTACATCAAATTACGAAAAACACATTCAAACCAAGGCAGACTTTTTCTGGATATTCCATATCTATGTCATTTGTTCCTATTTCCTAGTTTGAAACAAGAAGAACGAGTCCTGTGACGGGCAGTATGTTGAAGCAGTAGTATTAATACCTATGTAATAGTAATATGTAAACAATGCAATATGAGTTTGCCCTAGTGGTAAGGCAGGGTACTGCAAGGGAAAAAACTTGATGACGAATGATCAAACAATCATCATTGTGTATTCTGACAATGTTTTTTAGACTTCGCTAACCATCAGAGAGAAAGGTTTTCGACTCACACCTTTGCTATCTTTGTCCTTTCCTCCTACAGTCACTTTGTTCATGTAGATGTACTCCTCATCACCACCTGCGTGGAAAAAGCAAAAGGTCAATTCGTGTGTAATGGTTACAGATAGAGAATCTTTGACTTTTTTTTTTTTTTTTTTTACATTTTATACAGTGGTTCTCCGCCTTTTTCTACTCTGTACCACCTGAGAAATTCTCTGAGTCCCACCATGATGATCAACATTAGAATATAACAGCATAGGCCTTCACTGTTAGCTTCCACCACAGGAGAGATGTTTAGAAATGTTTAGAAAGATGTTTATGTTTAAATGTTGTATTCATTGTGCATGGTATGTTTCAGATTTATTCAGTTGAAAATGTAAAGGTGAAAACATGAATTTTCCCAGTGTACCACAAGTGGTATGCGAACCACCCTTTTAGTAAACAGTTCAATCTAGAACATCCACTTCTCCAAATGTAACGTTGGGGTCAGTACAATATTAGTCAGACGGACGTAAACATAAACACCGAGTCAAACTTGTGGCCGTCAAAAAGACACCAAAGAACGATTGTGTCAGTAAAATGATGATGACCCAGCTGTTGAAATAAGGTGTTGCTTGATTCTTAGTAAAGGGCACGGTCGCCCTACTGAGAATAGCTCCACACCAAAAAAAAAAAAAAAAAGGCAGAACATGCGTGTTTCACCTCTGATGGAATTCGAGAATTCTTAATAGAGAAATATGACACCAAACTGACTTTAATCTCGTTTCTTAAGAGACCAGGTTTAAAGGGGGACTCCACCAAAACAAGAGGCCCATTGTACAGACAGATGGGTCCATTATTGACACCCACTGTTACCGAGACAGGCATTCATCAAACATTAGTCAGACAACTCCTTGCCTGCACAGATGGAGCTCTGTATAACTCCCGTCTTTGAAGATCAAACGCTGAACAACTGATCATACTGTACAAGCCTTAGGTGGATTTAAAAAAAAACTTTTTCAGAAATGACTAATGATTTGTTGCAGGTACAGTACGCCAGAATTGACCAAAATTATACTATAAAATTACATACTGTATAAATAAACATAATTTCATCTAGTAACTCCCTGTTGACCTCTTGACCTCTGCCTAGAGTTGTTTAGCAGTATTAGCTCAGCGTGTGAGGGCGGGCAATTTAAACATTATTATGTTTCAAAATGGGATTTTACTTCTCAGATCATTGTTAGATGGCGCTGTAATCTGCGATGGAGAAGTAGAGATTGGATGTGGAAGGACAGTTAGGGACTTTGGAAAAGTTAAGGCACCTGGTGGTGAATGATGGAAGATATCATTTCGGTATGGACAGACTTAAACTTGTGGCGATACCTCTGGATCGAACCTGTTCCAGATATTTCGACTCAAATCTCACTCTGTGTTCCTGCAGGCAGCCATGTTTCACAGAGAGGAGAAAGTCCTGCAGCTGGTCGCTGTAACCTGTGACAGCTAAAGGCTCTGTTTCTAGGAAGGTTGTTTGATTTGGTGAAGAATTTCAGCTGACTAAGACTGTAGCCTTAGAGGAAATCAAACAAAACTTCAACCCTGGGTGATACTCCAGAGAAGCCTTCCTCTTTGAAATAGACACCATGAGCTAAAATCACAAATCACAAGCAGCAGCAGCAGCAGCAGCAGCAGCAGCAGAGAACCAATGTTTTGCCTGTACAGTGAAACCAGATTTTGGGGGAACAGAGTAAAACGGCTATTTATAAACTGTTTCTCAAAGGAAGTGAGCGTCCCCCGGGGGAATCAAGGCAGCTTCGGAAAAATGATACAGCTTGGAGCCAGGAGAGGAAGTATGCAGAGACAAGTCCAGGTCCTGATCATGGAAGAACAGTGTGTCTGTGGCCATGTGTGTGTGGACAAGAATGGGGAAAAAAATTAGGTCATAACCCCCCCCCCCAAAAAAACCCCAAAAGTTAAGTTAAAGTTGGATATTTCTGCTGATAAAGCAACTCTTAGAGAGCCTGAGCGTCGATGGTTCGAGAACATGGTTCACCAACATACATTTGGAATTGAAGGCTTAGCAGTTGGAATTTATGCTTGACAGAAAAAAAATAAAAATGAAATGTTTGGATGCCTCCCACTTCCTCTTGACAGACCAAAATAGTTCTCCTGTAAAAACCAAACATTTCAGATTTCACTTTCAGCCCGCCCTCATTCTGAAAGAATTATTTCCTGCTCTTGGATTTCGCCATAGTGGCATGTGGCAACGTAAAAGAAATGCAATCTGTGCAACAAAAGCAGGTAAATGTGATATGTGAAGTTAACATGGAATCGGATTTCTTCTGCCAAGGAACCAGAAATTCTGCTCAGGAAACAGGAAAAAATGTAATAAACAAGAAGGCTTTTATTTTGGAAATGAGACAAATTAAAGGTCAAAGCATCTTAACCTCTAATTTGGAATGTTAGTAACAAGATAACTCATTACCTTCTACAGCACTGTTTCCCAAAGACTGGGTCGCGACCCTCAGGTGGTCATTTTCTTTTTGGGGTCGTCTCGCATCATGTTTCCCAGGAGTTTACGAATAATGTCTATTGACTTGGCGACGTCGCGAAGGTTTGTGACAGAAAAAAAAAGTTTAAGAAACACTGATCTACAGTATACAGTTGCTATGCTAACCTTTAGCAGCTGAGGGCTGGATGAGTGCGGCCGTCAGACTGGTTAATGTTGTCATTCTTAACGACCTCCAGGCATCATCAATCACAACCAGCTACTGTCAGTGACAGCATTTTTTAACCGACACCTCGTTGCGTAGTAAAAAGTACTTAGTTTGAGGTTGTCAGCAGAAACTAATAACCACAAATCGGCGTTAGAATTGAAAAGTCAATCTGATAAATTTGCAGCAGAGGGAGGAAAGTGCACAAAAATGTTGACTTTAATGACCACAAAGTGGATAAAACAACCCACAGGTATTGGTTAATGGATGGCTGTGAGTGTATAAATAACGCCGAAATAATTATAGGCTGGAATGATTCTTCGAGAAACGTGCTCGGCCAATGGGAGCGTGGGAACAAAGGGCAGGACGATACGTTTTATGAAACACTAATTGTGACGACAGACTAAGTGATGATTTGTTCGCAAAAAGGGATTCCGACCAACAGTTCAGCGTTTGTTGCTAAACCTCAACCATGTCACAGTGACCGGGATTTAATAAAGAACACGAGGAAGATTTATGATGTTAAAGGTTTCTAACTTTTTACTGGAATTTTTTTTTTTTGGGGGAAACTCTACTCCCGTGAGGCAGTTAAAAATATTATTTTAATTTATTTTTGTTTATAAATGTATTTTTAAATATCACCTGAGAATGTGACAACGTTTAAATCGCAGTCAAAAAGTTCCAAGACACTGGATAGAACTTTGTCACATCAGTTTAAGCCAAGGTCAAAATCTGCTTTCGTGTCTCGTCTAAGGACTGAAATCGAGTTCCTTTCAAAATATCTTTTCACTTTTGAGGAAAGAAAATCACACTGTAGATCATATGTGTCAAACTTAAGGCCCGGGGGCCAAATGTGGCCCGCCAAGCCGTTCTGTGTGGCCCGCGGGAGCTTAAAATGCATTTAGGAAAGTTTCTTAACCTGAGAAATTAATTTTTTTTTTTTTTTTTACAACAAACAGTATTTGTAGTTTGAACAAATAATAATCAATTGCAGAAACATGTATTAGTCCGTTATGGAGTAGTTACATCTATACCAGCGGTCCTCGACTCTTTTTGTTCCAAGGACTGGTCAGCCAGTACCACCTGTTACCCGTGACCTCTTATTTAAAAATATTCCCAGATTATCTTTAAATAAAGAAAGTAAAGGGATATGACTGGATTTTCTTTGAATGAAGTAAACTAGTAAGAATTAAGTACATTTTTTCACTGTGTCCCACTGCGGCCCGGCACCAAATGACCTATGGACTCGTTGTGGCCCGCGGACCGTGGGTTGGGAACCTGTGATCTATACAGTCTTCCATTGACAACCGGCCCTTCAAGGGAAACTGTATTGCTGATGTGGCCCCTGGTGAAAATGAGTTTGACACCCCTGAGATAGATGGAGCTAGATAATAGTGGGACGTGATGTGATTTTTTTTTTTATTGAAATTTAAAAAAGAAACTGTTCCTCCATGTGGATGAAAAAAATTGGCAGTTTAGTAGAATAATCTAATATTATCGTGATCTTTTGGCTAACGTGGTGAGGACTCCATCAAATCATAGTTGAGTTTTATTAATAGGAATTTAAACTGTTGGTAATCAATTGTCATTCCCTGTAGTGTGTCCCACACTGAAAACAGTGAATCATGCTAACAGCTCCTGTCAGTTTACTGACTGCTGAGCTAGTCTATGCAGTAGAATTCCATTGTTGCGGAGAATATTTTCCAGAGTGTAATGCACCTTTAGGGAACTACGCTCTCCAAGCTTCGTCTAGTTCACATTCTTTATATATAAAAAAAAAACCCTCCTTTGTTGTTGCGCCCGTGAGTACAACGAGAAGTACTACACACAGGGTTCGGGTTTGTCTGTAGGACTTCCTACTCTTTCGAAGCATTTGGTTTTGATTGAAACCCATACCGTTGGAGGCTTTGTAGGACTGGAGGAGATCAGACAGCAGGCCTTTCTGGGCGGTTGCACTTCCAGTCAGTGTTTCCCTGTCCAGAATGAGCAGGAAACGGTGAAGCTCCATCAGGATCTGGTCCAGCACTGGAAGCACAGACAGACAGAGTCTCAGACATGTAAAACTGACAAGTGCCAGACGCAGATTCATTTTAAACGTACGCAGTATAAAACTCCAGCTTTAGGCCAAGGTTTTTTGAAAAAGAGCACCCGTGGGTGACAAAAACACCTCCGAAAGTTCCAGGCAGAAGTACTCGGCATATTGTACGTAGATTTATGTCCAAGACAGAGAGTTCAGCTCAGGGACATGTCTTTTATTATTGCCTTCAGCTGCTAGTCTGCGAGCGGGTTCCTCTCCACTGTTTGGCTTTTGTGTTTTAGGCCCAACGCTGTCGGCCAACATTTAACACGGGAGAAACCCTTCAGAGGTTTGCTGCTGGCGACTGCAGATAAACACCCAGACCTCACGTCACTGGCTTGTGCGTCTCTTGCATCTGCAATTAACAGTCGTACATCTTTTTGGGGTTGTTGTGGGAGTCGGGTGAGTTTAGCGAAAGGTCAAGTCTGGAAGGGAGGAGCCTGCGTCTGAGTCGGCGAGGCCAGCGTTTCTGGGCGCATCCCACACACATCCTTCAGGGGTCAGTGGATTGCACACGGCCCTCGGCGCTGTGTGGGGAGCTCTTTGTCTCCTCACGCTCTGTCTCTCAGGGACTCATGAATAGGACCGGGGGCACAGTGGGCCTTGTGTGAGCACTTGAGCAGGAGAGGAGAGTGAAGTGAAAGATAGAGGTGGGGCAAGTATCAGCATGGCGTGTAATAGTTCCTCAACGACATTTGACTTTTCCTCAAAAAATCACAAAAACGAATTTTTTTTTTTTTGGAAAAAACCAATGAAGAAATAAACAAGCACATCAAATATGATCACATCCACGAGCGTTCTCAAATATGTGCCATTACTGCGGCCACAAATCCACTGGTTAAGGTGGCGGTTTTCAACCTTGGGGTCGGGACCACATGTGGGGTCGCCTGGGTTTCAAATGGGGTCACTCGAAATGTTTACTAATTGATAAAAAATTTGTTTTAAAAATTCGAATTGTCTAGTAATTGATAAAAAATTTGTTTTAAAAATACTATTAAAAATATTTTTTACCATAGCTGGCGCTGTTGCACTACATTTTTGTACATGTTTATTGTGGTTGTTGTATTACATGGGGTGAGTTGAGAGAGAAAATAATAAAAATACAAAATTCATGGCACCTTTTTCAGATCATTCTTTGAGTGATTGTTTGTTTAATGAAAGTTGCACAAACTTTCAACACAGGTAGAAAAGACATATTGTGTAAAGATCAAGGTGAATATAACCAATTTAAAAGAAGTAGTGCGGAAAAAAAAAAACACTTTCATGGTCCACCGATCTGGAAAAATAAACTTTTATTCTATGTTTCTATTATGTAACTTTTCTTCTACTCTCGATTTCTCTGTTTTCTCTGTATTGACTCGTGTTGGTTTTGGAGTGGAGCTTTGCAGATTTATTTAAAAACCGCTACACTAATTATTATTACTACCATTAAAATCAATTTGTCCTTGCCCTTTATTTAAATACAGGTCAACACAGTGCGTTTTAGCCATAACAAAGAAAACTCTATGTGTTCAAATGCTAACTTTGTTGAGGAGTAAAAATCAGGAATGAAAATGTTCTCCACGGGCGATAAAAAAAACTTTTATAAGGATAATCGATCACTACTCCGCATCACAGCTGTCAGTTCATTTGGTTTGGCCACTTTCATCTGGCTTCTTCGAGCCTTTCTTCTCCCTCCATCCTCACACATTTGGCATCACTAGCAAAGAGGGACACTTCTTCAGAACAAGGTGTTCCTCCTTGGTACGCCTTGACTCAGACTGCTGGTAATCTTCCCTAAGCAAACGTCACTCACTTCCATTGAATCTTACTAACGATGAGTCAACTAACCGTCAGTGTGACCGGTGAAAAGAGCCCACACAATGAGTAGATAAAAACAAAAAATACAATACAAACTCATATGGGTTTTTCACAAGTGACTTTGGTTACCTTACTAATGGTTGCCTGGCTGCTAATGTGTGGCCCCTGGGTCTGAAATGAAACATTTTTCCAGCGTTTCCCTCCCTGTGTGTGCAGAGATCGACTCCGATGGCCTTTTGGATTGAGGGACCCTGGGAAAGCGAGTCAGCTGACAGGACGGACAGGAAGGTCTGCTGCGGACCGTCTCTGTGGGCTACGGCTTGGCCAAGTGCCCGGTGCACATCCAGTGAGTGACCACAGCCTCCGCAGCATAAACAAATCCCCACTGTAGAATGGCCAGGGAGAATTTGAGACACCCACAGAGAGGCAGATTACTACACAGTTTCCTACCAACGGGGGTGTAATTAAAACACGTGTTTAAATAAGTTCAAGAAAGACATGGAGCATACTTCAAAACCTATTAATATGATATATATATATATTTTTTTTTTTCTCTCTTTGAATTTTATTTTGAAATCCAGTAACGGGCTGGATTGGATGGTCCGGCGGGCCAGATTTGGTCCACGGGCTGCCAGTTGATGATCACTGCTATATTATATTACGAACGCGACGCAGACAAAAATGTCAACTGTCCAACGGAGTGTGTGATGAAATGAGGCCAAAGTAGGGCTGCGCTCAACAGAGTCCAACGTTCAAATCCCTTTTAAAAAAATAGATTTTCACTCACGGAGCAACTAGAGACTGGACTTGACTCCGACCAACCGCGCTCCTTGTTAAACCGAAACAAATCGCCACCAGGACAAAGGGTCTTTTCAGGACCCTGGCAGGGTTCCTAGGAGTTAGAGGCCTGTGCTTCTCCATCATCACTGACATCTCAGAGGGGATGAGCCCGAGCTCTTCATCTTATCATATTAACAATGAACGCATGGCCTTTCGTTTCAGCCAGATTGATTGAAGGTTAATGGGATGACCAGTGTGCTTCCTGTGTTTGGGGACATCGGTCTGAGCAAACTGTACCGAAATTAAATTAGACGTGAAGCTGGGACGAAGCTTTTTTTTTAATTTAGTAGATTAAAAATATATTGTTTGTCTATCAGTCATTCAGGTCACTGTATCCTAGGACATTGACTGAGATAATTAAGTTTCTAATTAGACATTGGACACTGAACACCTCTCATCCAACAGGGTTTTTCTAACCGGTTGGAAAAAAAGTTTTAGTTTCGAAAAGCTGATTGCCTACTTTTTCTAACCGGTTGGGGAAAAAAAACCCTGGGTTTTAGTTTCGAAAAGCTGATTGCCTAAAGAGAAAGTCCCTAAGATAAAACAATGGTGGTCATTCACCCAGTGACCTTGTAACAGGATGTCAGTTTCATCTGAAAGAGGAGGAACTGTTGGTTTCACTCAGCTGAAGAGTGTGCCTCTTGGAGTCTGCTGCGTATGAGGCGATGAAGGTTGCTGTCTTAAGTGACCTCCACTGTTGAGTGATGGTTTCTCCAAGATGACATAGAGTAGTACATTCTAATCCTCCAGCGGAGCTAATGTACTTTGGACCTGGTAAGGTCACGCATGAAACTCGCCCTCATTTGTTCTGTCTCTGAAAAAAGAAGCAGAAGTAGAATCGCTTTCATCGCTTGTCACCTTGACCGTTGTCTGTAGTGACGGCTACGTTTTTAACCTGCAAATTGGGAACTAGTTGGCTATTTCTGGACAGACACTTTAAGGGTCGGACACCCAAATATAATAAAAAAATTGCATTTTTGTCTAACGTTATTATTTGATGAAATCACCAAATCTAATAAAAAAATTGCATTTTTGTCTAAAGTTATTATTTGATGTTTGTTTTGAAATCCAGTCTCGAGCCTGATTGGCTGGTTCGGTGGCCCATATTCGGGCCACGGGCCGCCAGTTGATGGTCACCGCGGAGTCTCAAGTCTCTCTAATCCGCCTCTTGTCAAGACAACTCCTTTGTCCTGACAAGCGTTTCTGGTTCTGATTCTCCGAGGAAATATACGGCCGGCATTTATGCGGCGATAAAAAGTGAAACCAAAGTTGAATATTGTTTCAATCTGATGATGCAACAAAGGCTGCTGAAATGTAAGCTGCTCCTTCCCGCTTGTTCTGAAGCGGCCGGCTCTGGTCTGTTTTGGACACTTCCTTTCACTCTATGAATCACAGTCATATTCTGGGCTGTGGCGCAGATGTCCAAAACAGTCACAGATGTGCTCATGAGGTTTTCCTCGCGTCCAGTCAAAAGAAGAGCTCCCACACTTGTTCTCAGAATCTGTGCATTTATCCATATTCATTTCAGTTACTAATGCGCTGTATATAACATGTCAACATTTTGTTTCTTATTATCTCATTATTCTGGAATACCAGACAGCCCAGGGTTGAACGTCTCTGCCCTTCGACGTGTGTGGGTTTTTCTCCAGCTACTCCAGTTTCCTCCCACAGTCCGAAAAACACACACATCGCGGTCAAGTTAATTGGAGATTCGGAATTGCCTGTAGGTGTGAGTTTGGAAGTGAGCGCTTGTTTGTATGCTGTTTCAAACAGTGATGACTTTCCGTGTGTGTAAACAGTAGATTTGGACTGGCGCTGCATTTGTTTTGAAGCCTGACAGAAATAAGTCGATTGGAAACATATGCGTATCCTGGCCACGTTCAACACCAGTTCATACAGTAGATGATGTAGTGTCTTATTTGGATATAAATCCATGTGTTTTAATCTGTAGCTAGGATCATTTTTTTTTTGGAAAGGAAGTTTTATTTACATTTTAAGATGTGGCACGCTATAGGAAATATGGGAAAATTTCAATCCAGGAGTAAAGCAAAGCAACAGAAACCAATACACTCCCCTAGATACGAAATTAATAAATAATGAAAACAGACTAAACAATGGGAGATGGGAAAATAAAACGACATCTGCTATTATAAAAAAAAAAAAAAAAACAACGGTAAAAAGTCCATTTTGTTATTCGTGATCCTATTTAGAGGAAAATATACACTAACACATGGTGTTTATGAGTGAACACCTGGCAACTGAAAGCTTGAATTTTCTACTTGAGGTCTAGTAGTAGGTCACACAGAAA